TTTCAAAAAATCAATTATCAATGTTTCTTATTTTATTTTTTAGATCAAGTACTTTCTAGTCTCTGTAAAGTTCTCAAAAGGTTTAATGTTGACTCAATACTTTTTTTAAAAGCAGCTATTTTCTATTGTCTATCAAAAACTTAAGCATCAAATTTGATTAGATTCTCTTGATTCATTTAAATTTATAGATATTCGAAACAATTTTTATCACAATTATTCTTTATAGACAGTTATTCTAATATCCAAACGAATGTCTGCTTGTTAAGTTCTTTCGATACCACTAATACAGAATACAAATCAGCCGCTATGTAGAACTCTTAAATTGACTTATGGACAAATTAAAAGTTAGTACCTTTTTATTAGACTAGAGAACAACTCCTTAAGTCCTTTTTATAGGAACCAAATTAATGATCGTCATCGTTAAAATAATCATTTTACCACTTCTCCTCTTCTTTTTCTTCTTAATACAGAAACCCTTATTATTAATATTTAACTTATGTCATTTATTTTGTGCTCATTACTTTTGCAAGGTTGATGGAATACTTTTTTAAGTCATGTAAAAACCGATCAATATGAATTGATTTTCCCAAATTTCTCTACTTTTCTATTTATTGGTTATGATATTCATTAATAAATTCATCATAAAAGTCATAACTTGTAAGATTGAGTTCACGTAATGCATTACAAACAACTTCAATCAGTCTGTCTTTCTGAATAATTGCAAATTCATTATTGAAGAGTTTAAAGTAATGTTCAAATAAGAGATTTTTGTTGTTGTTAAGATCATTTAATTCTTTAAGGTTGAAAAATTGGGTAGCAATTGAATCTTCTTCCATTTTATTCCAAACTTTAACACCAATCTCAAATAATTAATTTTATCCAAAATTTTCCACATCAGTTTAGGTAACTTGTTATTCTTTTACATTATTATCCTGCTATTCCTTTTCATTATTATCCTGTTATTCCTTTTCATTTTTATCCTGTTATTCCTTTTCATTTTTACCCTGTTATTCCTTTTCATTTTTATCCTGTTATTCTTTTTCATTATTCTCCTATTATTTATTCTCTTATTCCTCTTCATTTTTATTCTGTCCCATAACCTGTTTCTATTACCATTTATACATTCTAATCAGATAGTTACTTTTATAAAACTCATAAAGCATAATTGGGAAATTTTTTAGAAAATTTTATCTTAAATTAATCATATCAGAAGCTTTCATCATCATTTTAGGCAACACCTAAACTATTATTTCCATCATATATGGAGTTCCTATCAATCTATATATACTTATTTTCTCCATCATCTTTTTATACTTTTCAACGCTCCATAGTTTTTGTAATTTTACCATTAGACTTCTTAAAGCTTCCTTACTTTTTAAAGCAAAGGATTAATTATTCTTTAAAAATGATAAAATGTTCTCTATTTATTTTTAATTCATAAGGGCTTCACCATTGAAATTTGTTGTGCTCAAACATGATTCCTTCAATTTTTCCCAACTCTTTTCAAAATTATTGATACCCAGTCCTCCTTAATTTGAAATTTATGTTTGCCATTCAAATATTTCAAAAATCAACATTTTAACACTTTAAATTGTGAATTTTTTTAAGTATTCTATTATTTAATCAGAATTAAATTTTTAAAGCTGAATTTCCTTTAAATTTTCCATTTGATCAGGTGCAAACCAAAAGACATAACTACTTGTAAAAATTTCGCTTCTTGTGGTAAAAATAACAAGTGGGTCTGACCAATTCTATTTGACTTTATTATTCATATATAAATTTTTTTAAATATTCTCTAGTTTCATTTCATCATAACTATCCATTATCAATAACAATCTGAATTCTTTCTTTTCTAACATCTCTTTGCATTCTCTTAGTTAAAGTTCGTCAAAGCCGTACTCATCCTAATGAAGTGCCTCCTCTACTGCTTAAAAAACAGGGTTTTTTAACGAGGACAAGGAGATATAAATAGGTATGAGAATCTGATTTCTAACTTTTTTATTATCGTTATGTAATTTCCAAATAAGTTCCTCTATTTTCTTAGCTGTTGTACTTTTGCCAGATCCAGCTACTCCATGAATTAATAACACTGTTTCTTTCTCATCTAACAAAAACTCATTCACTTCTCCTTCTTTATCATTAAGTTATTCTAAATTTATTAAAATACTTAATTTATCCTCCCTCTTTTTACCATTCTCTGTTTTATGAAATATCTCTTTAGTTTATAATGGAACATAAATGGATTTTACATTCCTTAATGCGGCTTCTTTCAATACTTTCCATTTTCTAATTTCAAATAATTATTCAACAGATTTTCCTCTCAAAAATTTAACATCGTTTCCAATACTTTTGAGTTATTCTTTCATTTTATTAATTTTCCCCTCTACTCTGATTAAACCTTTTCGAATATGATTTACAAAGTCAGTTATTAGTCTAAGCTATTAACCCATTTCACTGATATTTTCAATTTATTAATCTAATTGCGCCGTTGTTCATCAAGTTCTTTCAGATATATATCTCGCTTATTAAGATTAGCTTCATGAGAAATTTATTCTTACAATTCATCAATTTATCTCAACATCTCCTACATATTATTAGCAATTCTATCATGTTAGGTTGACCAATCTTTCTGCAAAATCTACATTTACACGCTTATCAAGCCTTAATTTTTTAAAATATTTCTAACTCTTTGATCTTTTTCTTAAACCCATAATTAGATTAGGACTTTCTAACAAAAAGAAGTCATCGAATCAGAAAAACAATTAGATGATATCTAAATTATAGTAAAAACCAGACCCTATTTAATTTTCCATTAATCATTATTTGAAAATTCTTTGACCCTTTGAACGAAATTATCTAATAAACAAAATTATTCTTTTGATTCCTCTTAATCTTCCTCTCCATTCTCCTCTAAGTATATTTTTTTAATTTATTGAATTAGAAAATCTTATTTTAATGTCATATTAGAACGATATTTTAATTCAGCCAGTTATTTTTAGACAGAAACTACTAATTGATAAAGAAAATCAGAAATCTTGATTTAATCTTATGCGATCACTTTATCATTACCTCTTTTAAAAAACTGGGTTTCTATTCTTTCCAAGTACAAATGAAAATTTTCGTCATCATTCTGGTTAGCCTAATTTAATATTAATTGAGATTCTTCAAACATCTCCATAAATTCTTAAATACATTCTTAACATCTTTTTTAGAATTTGATTTAATTTTCTTTTTCATATCTTTAAATTTAATCAAGTTTTTCAGAAAAAAGAACAACTTTTTCAAACAACTAGTTTAATAACTCCCTCCCTTCTTGTAGCTTTAATGTTTTTAACTTTATTATCTTAATCATGAATTATAAGTATGTTCTATAGTTCTCTTTGACACTAATTTCAACTCTCTCCAAACTTACTTTATCTTATGATTTAGATACCTACTATTATTCCTCTTTCGATATTTTGCACATTATGGATTTAAAAATGAGAAGTTCTTGATAAATTAACATTTTATCTATTTCTTTGTCTGTTTATCCAAAGGTTTGGATTGTTTTAATCACAAGTTCTGTTTGGACGATTAATGAATTCAAATTTACAATAGATTAGCATTTATTTAAATTTTCAATTTATCTTAATTAAGACAAAAAATAATCATATTTTTCTTTTTCTGGTAAGCGAAATTTATCATCTCCCAATTATTCATCAACTTTTAGATCTTCATAAATTGCTATAATTTCCTCTAATATCGGAAAGGAAGGAGGTTCTTTGATGAATAATTCTCCGAATTCCTTTTCAATCAACTCCAAATCTTTTCCCTCTTCTTCAACTAGTTTTTCATTTATATACTATTTAGACAGGATGAATTTTATTATTCCTTTTTACCTAGATAACCTTTATTCGATGTCTATATCTGTGATTACGTTATTTTATAATTCAGTAAGTAAAGTTGTTACATGAAAGTTTTCTATCAAAATTCTTTTTGGAAAATCTTCAATTACACTGAACAAAAATTCATCAAGATTTATTACTTCTGACAATTTTCTTAACTCCTCTGCTTTGGCCTATTCTAATATCAATAAAAAAGACTTCTTTAAAGAAATCAATTTTAGTTTTAACTTCAGGCTTTTGTACCTTATGTTTTCGAGAAATTTAAATAATTGCTTATTAGCAAAAGATTTTTTAATTTTTTAAAGTTCATCAATTTTAGGAACTGCCTCAATTTAATACATTATGATCATGATTTCCTTAAGGTGTAGGTTAAACTCTTAAAAAGTGTTTGAAATCTCCTTACACTTGTTTTCATAATATTAATACAGATTATTTACTAAATGCTAAAAATATTGCAATAAGTTATTTTAAAGCTCAGTTATTTCTAACTCGTAAAATTCTTTCTGAATAATCTTAATCAACTTTTAAGCTTCTTCCAATATTTTGCTTTTATTTTAGTAAGGTAACTCATGAAATGAGAATTTATATTCTTTGAAATCAAGTTCCTTTAAATCTTCAAAAATAAAAATTCTCCACTCATAAATAGAATCATTTTCATCATTCACATTTTGATCTCTTTCCTCTCTAAATATAGACAATTCTAATAACTCCTATAAACTCGACAACTTTTAAAGTTTCTCAAAATTGCTATTTTCATTTCTCTCTTACAATTTGCGTGAATTTAGACTCATAATTTTTATGATATCCTATAAATTTTAGAAATACTCTTCCAAATTTTATATCATTTTTTTTATTTATTGTTATGCTTTTCTTTCATAAAATTACTAAAAATTTTTATTACTTCTTCCACTTTCTCAACATTTTATATAGTTAAAGTCAGTAACTTACTGGAAATCATAATGGCTAAAAAATTATTGATCTTATTAATTGCAAAAATAATTTCATTTGTTTAGACTTCGATATTTAATTTGCTTTTTAAATATGATCTAAATGTGAATGGGATATTTTAATATTGATCATTTACGAGAAAATCTTTAAATAATAAGAAGATTTCCCATTCTTTGAAACAGGTTTCTAATATTTTTCTATCTATTTAACTTAATTAAGTATTTTAAAGTTAATTAAGTTAGATGACTGCTTAGTCATTCCTGTGATTCATCTAAATTAATAATCCTTTTCTCTAGTATTCCGTCCAAATTTAATCTGGCTTTAATCCAAATTTAAAAGAATTTATCAACTGAGATAATTTCTATTTTGTTAAGAGAGGATTATATTACAAGATTTTTCCAATCATTTACACCCAAAGATAATGATATTTCCATAGATTTGAATTTTTTATTACTATATTATGTATTTCTTCAACTTGTAATAGTATTTTGTCTATATTTTTCAATTTTTCATCCTTAAAATAACTTATTATCTCCCATTGCAACATATCTATTTAAAAATAAACTTCAAATTATTTTCTATTATTGCTTACAATATACAATTTGTAAAGATGGCAGGCTCCCTGAAACAATGATTCAAGCAATTCCTCATTTGGCTTCATTTAAATTATTGAACCAATAATACCACTTAAACATCCTTTTAAAATTTCTACCCTTTCATTACTATTATTTGGTGAGATCTCGAAAGAAGTTCTTGTTAAGAAAAGATAGAGTTCCATTTAATTTTGAATCAAATCATTTTTTTCTATTTCCATGTGTTTTCTAAGTTTGTCGGATATGTCGAAAAATTCCTGTTATTAGTCACATTTCATAAATCTCTCCTCATTTAATATATGGAAGCTAAATATAACTTTAGATAGAGACGCAGTTGTCTATAAGATATATAAACATTTAAACGAATCTGTTTAATTTAGATCAAACAGCTTTTCAATAGCTTTCTGATTCCCTCTAAAATTAAATCGTATGATTTCATAACACTTTAAGCATTTTTGTTAAGTTTGTAAATGTTTTCTTCTTAAAAACTAAACCATTGTAGAGCAATCATTATTTCTTAATTCTCTGACTAATCAGCAGCAACAACAGCCTTAGTGCAAATTATTTCAACATAAAAGTTGAATTTATTAAAGAAATTATAAAGATCTTAATTATCTGACTTTGAGATTTCTGATTATAGTGGGTTTATTTTTGAAGTTCCACAACCACCTCCACGCAAAATGGATTCCATTTAAGATATTTGAGATAACATTTTATCAA